CACGACGCTCTTCCGATCTCCCCAAAACCCCAAAACCCCGTGAATTTAGAATCAAAAAATATAAGAGTGAATCGAATTCGGTTGGATTATTAAGTGTCTTCTATATATTAATTACTAATCGCATATTGAAATTTAATTTATGGCCGAATAATCCATAGTCGCATCAGCTTAAGAAAGCACTCAATTGACTCCAAGAGGTTTAGAAAAAGAGAAGCCAGCCACAAAGGGAAATATATATACAAGATTTATCGATGGAGCAGTTAGTGGTTTAGTTAGTGGAGCTATTTTGCAACCCTTATAAGTTATTAAAACCTCAATGCAGATTAGTCCAATTGAAAAACCATAAGATCATCATTTGCAATCAAAAGCATTCAAAAAGATAATGTCACACACTAAGCATAAGCATTATGATCTATTAAGTTTTAAGGAGGCTACATTTTTAATATATGAAAGAGAAGGTGTAAAAGGCTACTATAGAGGGTTTCTTCCCTCTCTAATTAAGAATACTATGAACTCCGGAACATATTTCAGCACTCTTTACTATCTAAGATTAATGCTTCAAAAAACCTCAGTTATGTCAGATAACTGGATTAACTTCTGGTCATCTGCTATTGCAAGGGGTTTTCAATCTACGTTAAGTAACCCATTAATAGTCATCAAAACAAGGCTGGAAGTCCTTGGATTCAAGGAATACAATACATTAAGCGATGCAGTTAGGAAAATAATATTAAATGAAGGTTATGGTGGTTTCTTTACAGGCCTTAAAATTTCATTAATTCGTGATGTTCCTTTCTCAGGAGTTTTTTACCCGATATATGAATTCAGCAAGAAATTTTACAGTCAAATGTTGAGTTTTGACTAAAGAGATGAATATGGTAGAACAAGAGCGTTATACTTAGCTTTGATTTCGTCGATGGCATCAATCACTGCTAATTTGATGAGCTGTTTGATTACTCATCCCTTGGACATTATCAGAACGAGAGTTTTCTTTCAATTTTACAATAAAGACCAAAGTTAACATTATCAAAGTATCTCGAGTGCAATATTAAAAATATATGAATACGATGGATTAATCGGCTATTTCAGAGGTATCACACCTAGAATCATTAGAAAAGGTCTCGGTAATATATTAGCTTGGGGTATTTATGAATATCTAGTTGATAAAAGAGAAGGTGTTCAATTTGACTGATTAGACTTAATGCTCATTGCCTAATATCGATCTAAATTAAACTATTAATTTAAAGTAAATTTCTTGCTCTCGTTTGAAAGCCTTGTCACCCAAATTATACCCCTGATACTTCCTCATGGGGTTTTGGGGTTTTGGGGTTTTGGGGTTTTGGGG